GCTCAGTTATATGATTTACAGCTAGGATATCCGCGGATCATTATAAGCTTATTTCATTAAGATCATTATGATCAGTCCTGCAGGTCATTTGGAAAAAAAAGCCATCACGTTCAAGAATACGGTTAGGATGAGCAGTCAACATTAGTACAAATTTAACCAGTGCTATTCTCAGACCGACAGCATTTGACTCACATTAGACCATCCTTGCATGTACGGCTTTGTAGGAAAACGTTCCGAAGATTCACTCCAGCCGCTGCTGGGACTACGAATAGTTTACTAGCAATCACTATCGTTTGACTGTTGGCAAGCTGAGAACAATATTAGGCCACAATCAATTCAACAATAGACTTACGATGGCTTAAATTCTTGCTCTGCATGAGGTTTTGGTAGCAAAGCACATCTTGCTTTTTCAACGGGATTTCCAAATCACAGGATATTAGTATAATAGTGGCTCATTCTCCGCGTGCTCAAGGCAAAGATGTCCCATAGATGTCCCATGCAACTATTGCTCAATGAAGACATTTAACACCGGAACTTCTTTTGGAAAACATTACCGTTGTGCGTGATCTCCTGTGATATTTGCAGCATGTGTTCACAACTGTTCAGCATCGTCCTCTGAAGTCTTCCATATGTCCCGTGTTTGAACCGTCGTGAGTGCTGCTACAATTTCTGCGTTATTAGAGCGAGGCACCGCCGTGAATATGTTAACACTGTGGAGCGACGAATGTATTCCACATTCAAGCTTGCACATGTAAAATGTTTGATCTATCTTCAGCACAATACCGTTGGAATATGAATTGGTTCCTCAGAGGTTTATAGAAGCCTTCATTTTATGGACTTTCTTTTTCTTAACGTTTACTGGATTATATTTAGCAAGGCAAGTAGATCAATACTAGTTCAGAAAGAGGGCACAAAATCTAGCTGGATATACATTGATAAAATGATGTGGGCACCCCGATGTTCAGTGCCATTTGTCTGCTGTTGCGGTGGATGGAGGGGTACCCCTGTGTGTCTTATGGCTTAACTGTCCTTGGCTAAAGCAGATATAGAGTTGAGAGATGAAGGCAGTGCAGCATCCCCTCCGTCTGGTCCTTCTTCTTCCTGTTTATCGAATTATACATCAGTACAACCGCTGCCTCTTTTTTCTTTGCCCTCATCTCGACTTAATTTGATCAGAGAATCTGCTGATGGAGTGTGTGCCCGGCTCATGTGAAACCAATTTCAAGCTACACATGAAAATCTGGTGTCTCTTTTACGCCCTCATTCTCTCTCACACACGCACACACACGTATAAATCTCAGCGGGGTTACACAAGCGCAGAGTTTGTCCTAAGGTGAGACCAAACACATTAAATACCAGGTGATGTGGCAGTGATTGAGAGCACAGCTACATTTACAATAATGTACGGGTTTGGAAAGATTAAGCTTTTATATCACATGCAACATGGATGCTCACTATTTTGTTATTACGGCGATGGATCAACGAGTTTGTTGTGGATGGATTCAGAGACCAGAGATTTAAAAGCCTTTTTTTAAATCAAGATCTTGTTCTTGAGCTGCCTTTTGCCTCTGTTCCAATGCTTCACTTTCACAACCTATAATCATTAAGTCACACATTTAAGCTATATTTTTCAAGTTCAGCCCTGATTTAGTAACAATCGCTTCCAATATGTAAATTGCAACCATTTTTGATCTTGTGAGCGGCGAAAGAAAGTTGAATCCGACTCCAAATTCAGCATCATCGGAGCCAAAAATTAACAATTTGCACTGAGAATTGGGTTTTTGTGGCCTTACAACAAGTCGTTCATATAAAGATGCAAGGGACAAATTGGTTGAAATCTGCAACCTTACAACTGACACGGCCAAATGCTGCACACTGCATCTTCAAAACAAATCACCGCATGATGTAGAAATATTTTTGCCACTGGTTTAGAGAGGAACCTTTAGGCTGATCAGAAACCGTTTGATTGCCCTGTGATGGAAACATGAGTGTTGTTTGAAGATGGATCTTTTAATGTGACCTGCAGCCCGAGGTGCTGGGGGGAATAAAGCCAAAGGACAATGCTGCTGCAGGGATTCCTGCAGCCATAAACAGAGGACATGTGAAGCATCACCCTGAAATAGACTTTGGGTGAAATGACAGTGAGCTCTGATCCGCAGCTGTGATGTTTGGAGTCTCAGCTGGTTTATGAATTCCCAAAATGTCTCTACGGTTCCCATGAGGGAAGTCCAACACTATAGTTTCAATTACTGCTGCATGTAATCTGCACACTTAAACACATAGGTTAGAATATCTCTTTAGTACATACAAATAAAACATGTTGGTTTCAATAATGACGTTTAAATAACTTTTTGCCTAAAGGTCATGAGTGTTCATATTTCAACAGTATTGATCAAATATTCGCTTTGCACAAGTCCAAACTGTCATCGTGAGCACTAATAGCGCACAAAAGTCTGGAGCTGTCCGTCTTGGAAGATCATCAACAATATTTTTGATTTTGAGGAGTAAAATGTTTTTAGACAAGCAATCATTTAAAGGTGATGAAGTCTAAAGTTATTTAAAAATATGGTTGTGCTTTTGTCTATCAGGGGGTACATCTAAAACCATATCTTCTTTGGGGTATTTCTCTTCCACAGACCACCATTCTACAAAGATCCCACAAAAATGCCATCAACACAATTCTCCCACGAGAGAATGCATATCAACAGGATTTGCTTGTGCTTTTGTAGCCAAACTGAACACGACATTGCTGAAACACAAAGTATAACCTACAGCACTTCCTCCAGCCCACGACCAGCACCGCCACGCCTCTCGTATGAGACACTCATAACCAGAGGAGCCTCACTTACCCTGCTGCTGATACACCATGTGCCAACATAAACCCCAGAGGGTCCGAGCTGCTGCACCAGTGTCGGGCCCGTCCCCTCGGCATGCAGCGAATACTTGGACCTGGTTCCTGCTGGAAGTTAAACAGACAAGTCGCCATTTAGTGGAAACCTTTTAGGGAGAATGCCAGCATGAGAGATGTGTATCTGTGACAGCTGAGACTTTAGCCTGTAGCAGTGGAGTGGTTTATATTAAGAGAGGCCTATATGCTGCACTCAAAGCCTGTCATTCGTGATTGTTCAGCGGTGTGACAACCTTCAACTTGAAATTTATAGTTTCGTTAACCTGACACTCTTATTTTAAAATGTTCGTCTCAGGTTCTCCAGCAGGAAAAGGATGCCATGGGGAAAAGAAAAATGAATCTCATTATATTATATGTATATTATATACACCAAATGTTTTGCTGGCATTGTTAAAGCTTTTGTTATTTTTATAGAGATTATTTAAGCCATAACATCATGCTGTTTAGGAAAAATTGAAATTTGAATGTTTCACTAAGTTCTTTCAAAAACAGGAAAAAAGTACTAATCAAGATTAACTGACAACTAAAAAGCTGACATGCCTTTGACTTGTCTTTGTCATTAATAACAATATTACCACACAGGTAAATAATGTACTAATCAGACAGATATGCATGAATGAAATTAGAATGAAACACACTGTGAGTATGGCTCCTCTTCTCATGCGCAACTTTAAACATAAAATGAGAAAAAAAACTTGAGGTCGAAGTTAAACGTTACTCTTAAATCAACCATTTAGTACAATAAAGAATAAAAGTCAAAAAGGCTCGTTAATGAATACCTGCACAGCGAGAGAGGTGCCGGCGTCGAGCGAGACCACGGCGATATTTTTAGATATTTATTTGATAAATCTTCCAATTGTGATCTCTTGATGCCTGGAAACTCGATAGATGCTAAAAGAGTATTGCTCCGGTCAGAGTTTGATTTTTATTTGTTATTTCTAAGTGTAATCCTGTTCCTGCGGGAAGTCGCACTGCAGATGTGGCGACATTGTGTTGAGCAACAGCAACAAGACACGAGTTCTGTCTCGAGCCATTATAAATGATAAATAATTATGACGGAAAATAAGAGAGAGAGAAAGAGGGAAAGAGAGAGAGGGGGAAGAGAGAGAGAGAGGGAGAGAACCGTGCAGGGAAATATATGCGTGAATTCTTTTTTGCAACATCCAAACGCAGTAAAAACAGGTTAAAATATATTTGTTTTTGTTTTCTATCTTTGGTCATGAAGGGACTCTGGGTTATTTAATATAGCATCGTACAAAAAATCAAAAGCTATCTGTCTGTGTCAGTTTTTAAAATTCAAATTTCCACACTTAATCACCTAAACATCTCACTAACATAGAAAAACGAATAATGCAATTTGCAATGATTTATCCAGTTTAACCAGCAGCTCATAAAGACGCCTTGTTGCCTGAAAATATTTTACCCTCTAATTTAGATTTTGATAGTCAAGCAAAACCAAATTGCCGGGTGGCGTTTTTACTGTGAGCACAAAGCCAAGTATTTAAATGAGCATCATAGGCTTATTGGGTTGTAATGAATTCAATATTATTTAGCCAATTCTCAAATTAAAGGCTGAAACTTCGTTGCCGCAAAGATGGGCTCTAAATTACCATGACAGACAGCTAATGTCGATGTCTTTAATGTGGGGCTCATAAGAAAATATTTATTTCATTTTTAAGCTCATCGTCGCTTTACTTAAAGCCCGATTTTTGCTCCAAATTACCGGCGTATTCCTTTCAATTACAATTAATAACTCGTCTTTCTTCATGCAAGAGAAACCACAATCTGATTTTCCTTCAATACACACAATACATAAAAAAGGAGACGGAAACAATAGTTTAAATGTCCTCAAGATTGATAAAGCCAAAGGTTATGTGTCTCAGTCGTGTAGCAGCGAGAATCAAAGACGATATATTCATCCTCTAATCACATTATTGTCATGTGTTGTGTCTCCCGCGTGTTTCCCAAAAAAAAGCCCCCCCCCCCGCCCCCCTGAGCTTGACCTCCCCATTCCAGCAGGCTGCATAATAGCGCGCGCTGGAGCTCGCTGTGGGCCTGTACTTTAGATGTGCGTGGAGCCCGAAGTGCTGCGTGCGTGCGTGCCGGTGTGCGTGTGTGTGTGTGTGTCGGATACGCTGAAGGCTCCTGAGGCGGCATCGATTTGAGCAAGGCATTTCTCTTTATCCCCGCGAACCTTCAGGGGGCTTTTTTAGCATTTGTTCGGTCTGCAGTCTCTGGAAAACATCTGATTCGTTTTGTAACCAGTCCCAGATGCGGCAGCGTGAGAGTGTGTTTGCATGAGCGCGTCAGTGGCAGTTTGTCAGTGCATGAGAATCTCGGGGAGAATATCTGCCGTGTAGAGAAGGGGAGGGAGGGGAAGAAGAAGAACCGTGTGGATTTTTTTTTTTTTTTTTTTTTTAAACATAACTTTTTTTTGTTGAGGTATGAACGCAGCAGCGTGCGTCTCATACTGCGATATGACATCGATGGATTCATATTATAGCGCGTCCACCGCGCAAGGTAGGGACCACCAGGCCAACCCGTTCAGGACTTTCCCCACCTCTGAAACCAAATACAGCCCCACGTTCGTCCCCGGTAAAGGACAGGCGTACGGAGAGAAGTCCCGGAGTCCCTTCCAGCCGGAGTGCCAGTCGTTGGATGGCGCCGAGGACAGCGGCTACAACAAGTACCAGCTCTTCATGCAGAGACCGACCTGCAAAACTCCACCCGAAGGCGGCAAGCTGCACCAGGACAGCGGACACAACGGGACGCTGATGCCCTGCTATGGTGAGGGCTACGTGTGATGTAATGTATCCGGCGAAGGGTTCAACGGGAAATGAACGACAGGACGATTCACTGCGGTGAGAAATAAAGGTTCTCGTGGTTAATTCAACCGAACTGATGTGCATCTCTAAAATAAGTGCGTATTTAATGCAAAAAATGCAGTTTAATTGAATAACTATTGAGGGCAACTGTGAGCAATGCCAAGAAAGAAAGAAAAAACATAGTTGCATATTAGAACTCCCTTAGAAAAAGCACAAAATGTGCGTGAAACAAGGGAAACTGAATTAAATAAGTGATTCGTTCATTCTGAATATGATCCACGGAGGGTTAGAATTCGCTTGCAAGGTGAGCTATAATAGTAGCGGGGATATTGGAATTAGATTTCCTTCATAGGACATAGGACTGAGACAGAGGGAGGAAGAATTAATTAAAAGGTCATTTTTCAAAGGATGTTTGCCATGTATTGGACACGAATCTTGGACTTTTCAGCCTCATTAGAAGTTCACCCTGAGACCGCAGCATCCCACTGATGTCACCGGACAGGACAAGTAGAAAGGTCACGATTTATCTTCATATTCAGGTAGGAAGCCATTTAGGCATGAGGCAAGCACGCAAACACGTCCAAAATCAAAATGGAATGTACCTATTTAGTAAAAAAAATGTTTTCATAGCAGAGTTATATTATTTAGCACGAGATATTATTTAATGATAAATAGAATATCTGATTTCACGTTGACGGGTTTCCACATTTATTCAATGGACTATTTATTGGCCATGAGCTCACACATTGTTGTCTATAATGCAGCGGTCACTGACGAAGTTAGAGACTTCCTGAACATCATTCATTTTAAATAAAACAGGATCTTTATACAATTCCTTGCACAATTTGCCGCTTAAAGAAAACAATAGATTTTAATGTCGATTACTTAGACTAAAGCCATCTATTTTACTGAACTGTTTTTGCGGCTTAAAATAAAAAGACGGAAATAAACTAGACCTCAATTGAAATCACGCGAGAGGACCGATATCCTCGAAAAGAACACATGACGTGTAGAAATTGTTTGTATCCTATTGTTTTGTATCCTTGAAAAACAACTTTTTTTTAGCTATTATTGTATTGGCGCCTTCATATATCCCAGGTCCAGATGTTTACCATGATATTACTGAAGACAACATCTACTATTAACGTGGCTTAAATTACCAGTAGCAATTTGAATCGACGAATTCGGCTGGAAAAAAAGATTCAGTAACTCAAATAAATAAACAACCAATAACAAAACAGGGTCTAAACATGCCAAACTGTAAATACACTAAATTCTGGTTGTTCATATGAGTACATTAAAACAGGTGTAACAAATCAAATTGAACTGCCCGATCTGCTGTAATTCGCCTGAAGTAAAAGTATTTTCTTTTGGCGCATTGAACCCACTTCACGAAACACGTCTTCAAAGTGCGAGTAATCTCTTTTCCCGAGAAACAACTTGGAGTCACCCTTCACTTGAAGCTCAACTGTCACTTTTTTTTCCTCTGGAGTTTGTGAGCAACGCGTCTCCCACAGGTTGGATCCATCTACACTGAAGTCAATTGATTTGGCAAGTGCACTGACAGAACCTTTTAAACAGCGTCATTAAAGGCAACTTGCGTCCCGCGAGGAGAGCGCTGCATGTTGTCACTGGAAATGTTGCAGCCAGATGAAGGCATCGGGGCTCTGGGGAGGATGCGTTGGACTCCTTCCAAAGCCTCGGGCGTCAACGGGCTTTTGCTGTTTTGTGTGGTCCCTAAATGGGAGATAAAAGTTATATGGCTCCACTCTGACGCGTTATCTCCTTCACGAGGACAAAAGTCATCCCATACCCGAATTCATTTAAGGTTTATACGGCATTCTGTCATTCTGAGGATGGTAATTATACATTTGGAAGAGTATATCTAATATGTTAACATGCACATTTAATGATAGGAGAAGATAATACAAATATGTGTATTCTGCTAATGGTGTGGTAAAAGGTAATAGATAAAGTCTTTTTGACATACGCAAAACGTTAACACATCATTTCCCCTCTATAAAAATGTTTCCAAACTTTTGTGCAGAATATTTAAAATATTTAAAATAATTTTTCTTCCAGGTATTATTCAAATGCAAACACTATTGACATTTAAGACTTTCTAAAATGCAAATTTAGATGATGATAACATATTGATAAAATACATGTATACGGTTTTGCCAAGTTTATGTATTGCCATGAAAATCCTACTTTGCGCCAAACATTTTTAAAATGATGTCAATTACAAATACAAGCTTGTCTCTGGAGGAGTAAATGAACATCTGCACAGTAGTGGCTCTGGTTGGCAGGTTTGTTTCCCTTTGTGCATGTTATTTCAATGAGACTGTCCTGCAGCTATAGAACAGGGATGGAGCTGTCTACCTGCTCACAGTGATGAATGAGAGCTGATCGAGTGCTGAGGAATGCAGGTCAGCACTGCAGGAGAGGTCTGCATTAATGTAAGGCAGATGTGCATTACTGGCTCCTATAGTTATTATTCATACTTCCAAACATCAGATCTCCAAAGCTTCAGAGAGTGCCCGAGATGACAAAACTGTTTACATAAACCTGTGTCAACAACACCTTGTGCAAATAAGCAACGAGTCAGAAATGGACATTAAGATTGGCTAATGATTTGAGGGGCTGGAAATGAGAGGGTTTTGCACGTGCACGTGGGAATAACTGTTTACATGCGCGTATACACTTGACTCCGTGGCTTTAGTCTTCTGCTTCATTACTGTTATTCATTTCATGAACTTATGGTGAAACATATTCACTCTTTCTTTATGAACTGGAGAGAATGTAAGTGGAGCTAAGGGAAGGTCATTGTTTCTGTATGGTTCTACCTGATACTAAGTTCCGCAGTGTGTTTGTGGGAAGACAAATCACTAAACGCAGTTTGTGCTTATACAAAACGCCTGATCACTGTGCTTTCAGACGGGATATCAAAGTAAAAAGACCCGAAACAAGTTACTTTTTTAAAAGCCTCCTGTCAGAATATACTCTGTTAGAAGGATAGGGGAAGGTATGTTACAGGACATGCATGTGCCGATGACCAACGCATTGTGTCATCAGCACATGCATGCATGAATGACACCCGTTATCTTGCCGCTGCGTGTCTATGAACCAACTCTGAGGACAATTATTTTCCATTCTGCGTTATGTTCCCTATCGTCACTTCACAAAAAACCCCCAGCTAATGCTCTCATGCAATTTACAGAGCATGGCTTGTTCCTTCACTTGCAGCCACCTCTCCTGCAGTGGATGGTGTCCACCTTGGAATCGCATGCAGGCACTGCGTCTTTACTTTGACTTGACTCGTATCAATGGACTACATCTAAACTCTGAGTTCTTGAATAATGCAAACATTTGGCCATGCAGTGTTATGGCAAAGAAAAGGATACAAGCTCTTGGCCTATCACATCACAAAAAAGGAAAAGTAAAGAAAGGTACTAATGATGGTAACACAATATTATGATGATCACTATAGGTCCATGATTAACAACTTTGCAACAGCTCACTTTCAGCAGCAAGACACAGCTCATTTTGCATGTCAGAGATTGAAACTAACCCTAATTCCCATTTTACTGGGACAAAAAACGTGCAACGTACCTGCACAAAAAACAAACATTCTCTAAAGGCAGAAATGTACTTCTGGAATGAATTCAAGACTGCTGGAAAATAAGATTATTGATGATTAATAATGAATAATCCTCTTGGATTTTATATCCTCGTCTCCTCCTCTTTTAAAGTTCATGTTTATCACCCAACACAAACTTACTTGTAACATCGATCATACAAAACGCATCACAGAAATGATAAAGCCTGACAAAGAAATTAATTTTGACCGTGACTGGTTAAAAGGTTTGACCGTGGACTGTAACTATGCAACATTAGGTATTTACTTATAACTTTGTCACATGCATGTAGATGCAAATACTTAAACTTTCTGTTATGAAATGAAATGCTTTACCCAAATGCATCTTTAATGGGGTTTCTTCCCCCCATGCTGTGTCAATATTTCCTGCATTGAAAAAAATATATATTTTTGAGCTCTGGGATATGAGACAGTGACAGCCGCGACCCAAGGTATTACGACAGTATTGAGGTCATGCTCCATGTCAATATATAAGGGTCTGAGGTTGAACAGAAAGATTTTTTGGTTTCCCAGGAAATCTGCATTCCTGCATGAGCCGCTGGCATAGATCTCTCCTCAGGAACATCTGGGACCCTCCCTTCCACGGAGGAAAAAACAGTCAACATAAGGTCTTGGACCGGGCTGCGGGAAGAATAATCCATCCCAAAGCATGTCTGCGGACCAACAATGCATGCACAAATAATAGCCAACAATGCCGCTGGAATACCTCACTTTATTTGATCCATAGAAGGTGTGAGGAGTAGAGAGCCATTGTGGCCGACTGCTGTTTGCTGTGAGTGTTTTTGAGAGAACAATTTTGAGTGCTTGTTTTAAAAGCATTCCCTTCCCTATTTAGTGTTTGGTCCTTAACCCTTCCCCAGGTTACTAATTTATAGTGTTTCTTTTATTTGGCTTCACTTGACCCTCCCTGTCCCATTCCATAAAAACTGAGAGGGTGCCCTGTTGCTTTACAACCAGTTAAATTACACTTTGATGTTTTCTCTCTGTTTTCAGCAGTGATTAAATTGCTGACCCTAGTAAACATCTGACCTCGACTAACTGAAGAGGTCTGCAGCTTGTCTCGAAGAAAATGGCAAATTGCAGGATCAGCTGTGGACATTCGGTGCATTTGCATGCTGAAACACTGAATACTGAAATGAGAACGGTGAAAAACACATCCCCCTGAATGCTCCAAAACACTGGAGCCGACGCGGTGGAATCTTGGCTCGCGAAAAGAAAGTGTGTGACGGCTGTGTTCTCCAGAACAGAGTGCGGAAACACACGGCTCAGCATGCGGTAAAAGTGGAAGATGTTTGTGGCGAAGGACTCTCTGTGTTTAGCGGGACAGAGAAAAGATAAATACTTTTGGAGTACCAGGAAGAAAAAAATGTTAATTAGAGATTCTAGTGCTCATCGTGGGGAAACAAGTATTTATAAGACTGAGAACCTTTTAAGGTTATACATAATATTCAGAGTATTACTATAACAGCAAAAACGATATGTAATGTAAAGAGATGGTTGGGAAGTATCTACCTGAGCTTCTCTTTGCTTTGTTGATTTAGCCACATATCAGCTTGTCCCGGTGAGCTCACGAATGTTACTCAATGCTGCCACCATTAGCAACTTGGCTTTTTCCAGCAACAGGACTGAAAACAGGCTGTAACAGCTGGCCTGTCTCCGTCTGACTACCAACACCTCCAAAGGTCACTCATTCATGTTTTGTTGGTTAAATCGCTATAAAAACAGAGGAGCAAAAACAACGAATCCCCATTTTACAGGGTGTTATGTTCTGAGCAATTCCCATATTACCCCAACAAAAAAATAAACTGTCAGCTCTATATTATAATCCTAGCCAAACTAGCCGATCAAGGTTGCTTCCTATTTAGTTTTCAGCCAGGAGACTGTCCTCTCGTCTTACTCAGTAAGACAGAAAACAAGTGAAACTCCCAAGATGTCCACGCTTTCAATTGAATTTTCTTATTAGTGTTGATTCAAAAGTAAAAGTAGTCAAAACACGCACATCTGTAAGAATGACCCACCGCCCCTCACTCTTCACCCCCCGGCTGCACCCTGTGCTCTGCAGGATATGTGCCCGCTCTGGGGCCTTTGCCAAGTAGGAACCTGGAGATGACCTGTCTTACTTCTTAACATTGCCGCCATGTTTCTGCCCAGGGGTAGAAAGAAAATATTGCACATTGCTTCGGCATTAGAGGCCAGTGTAGGGGTATAGGTGATGTCAGAACATCTGCCTGCGTGGAGACTGTAAGAGGGTCTGACAGGTGGGCCAAAGCGATATGAGGTCACGACCTCCGGCTGGGCGAGCTGTGATGTTCCATTAGCGTCTCTGTCGGCGTAAGTCTGAGCCGGCGAGCAGGGGGGCTTGCTGCAGTATCGAGAGGATGACTATCGACATCTCGTTGAGGTACGCGCTAGCCAAAGGCGAACTTATCCATGAAAACAAACATGCATGTTACAGGCAGCCACCGCCTAGCTCCTTCACTCTAAAACTATTCGGTCATCTAACTAAAAAACACTTGGCTTAGAGAGTCACCGTGCAGTGCCACAAAGTGTCAACCCTCTTTTCCTCCTTGCACTGGGTTTCTGAGCACGACAGGAGTATAATTTGTATTTATTGTGCTATACTTTTTATTTATTATCTTGATCTGTTTTGCTTGAGCTGTTACGACACCCAAATTCCCCCCATGGGGGGGGATCAATAGAGGAATATCATCATCACCATCATTACTGACACTGAGCAGAACAAGAGTTGCAAAGAGACAAAGAAGAAAAAAAAAAGCTGGAGACAAATGTTGGATCGAAAGTAGTTCTGTTGTTGCACAATACTTTGTTTACGTGGAAGAGACCACTTTGTGCTGGATTCAGACCAATAGAGTCTGGACCGGGCGCTCACCGTGCCCAGTCGCAGGACAGGCCTGACAGAGCGCACTGTTCTCACTGGCCCACAACCGCAGCCCTCCAGCTTATTTATTCACACGACTGTTTGTTTATTCAAGGAGAAGGGACGGCTTTCTTCATCTCTTAGGAGGAAACAAAAAAGCTTGCGTGTACTGACAGGAACAGAGCGCGGTCTGTCACGAAACGGACGCTCACGAAATGAAAGGTGACAAACACAATGTTGTTTATACCTCAGGGGCGAGGGAGCGGGGGAGGAGGGGGGAGGGGCAGCGTGGTCGCACACAAGGGCCGCCATACACGGCTGGAGAGGGAACAGGTTTTAAGTGGCTTGGGTTTCTGGTGACGTGATTGAGAGATGCAAGTTAGAAGGCTTCAAGGGTTGTTGTCACAGGTCACCCCGATGTGGAGTGATACACCTTCCAAACAGAGAAAGACATTTCTTTTTAACAGAGACGGCCTTTGAACCTTGAAATAAAACATTACAGATATGACGTAAGCTTAAAGTAAAGTCATTTCTTGTGGATGTTGAAATGTGATGATGAGCAGACACACTCCTAGACTTGAACGTGGGGCACCATGGTTTAATTCATTCATGAAGTATGGCTCTTTTGAATATTTCAATAATAGAGTGGTAACTATAATTATAGGACTATTATGGACGACATGTGGCTCTCTTTTTTCTGCTCTAAAAAAGTTGGTTGAAATAGCTTTATATATTTGAAAATAATATTATAACAGTAAGAATATGATTTGTATTACATGCAAATCCAATGTTATTTGAATTTTTTGTGCTTCATAAGAACATCTGAAGAACGGCACGCTTCAACTGAAACCAAAATTGCTCAAATGCTCATTATTCAAACCCAAGCATGATTAAATGTCATGTTTTATGAGGTTTTTGGGCAGGACCTTCAATCCACATCACAGCAAGACATTGGTAAAAAGGTTTTCAAGAACCCTGGAACCCTGCACTGTGAATGGGCCGTGTCCTTCATTTAACCACCACCATTCATTTCTAATGCTTCCTTTAAAAAATCTGAAGATTTAAGACCTGAGCTGAGATATTTTTTGCAAACATTGTTTGAACAACTGATCTGAACTACATGTGTACAATTGGTAAAGTGTCCCTTTAAAAGAGCAAAATACCATTGATTATAACTTCAACACTTCTTTCTGTACCTCCTACTTTTTTTTTCCTTACAGGAAAAGACAACAGCGGCCTGACGGAGTCTGAGTTACCCCCGAGCGTCGACCCCCCCGGGATGGAAGGAAGCTACCTGAACCTGAAGTCGCCCGGCGAGAAGGGCCTCAGCGAGCGGCCCGGCTCCGACTATTCCAGCCCTTTGGACAAAAGTGAGGCAGAGAGCAACAAAGGCAAGAAGAGACGCAATCGCACCACGTTCACCAGCTACCAGCTGGAGGAGCTGGAGAAGGTTTTTCAGAAGACACACTACCCAGATGTTTATGCCCGCGAGCAGCTGGCAATGAGGACGGATCTGACGGAGGCTCGCGTGCAGGTGAGGAATTGGGGATTAACGGCACGTTACTAGTGGAACATTTGTTTCTGTAGTTTCTGAGCCAACATTTCATACAAGTTAAAAGACAAAATATAGAATTTGTCGACGATCATGTTGTAGTTCGATTTAAGTACAAAATGGTGATTGAAATGACTACATTGTTAAGGTCAGGGGAGCCTTAATGCCATGGTAACAAGCATCAAACAACAACCCTCAAAACTCACTGCTGGAATGAAAAGGAAAAACAAACAGTGCATTCCCATGTTAAGTCCATCCGACCTGACCCCTCGTTTCTCTCTAATCATCTGATTTCCTCCTTTTTTTTAAATGAGAGATTCACCGACCCAACGTTAATAGTCCAAATACATTTACCAAGCCTAATTACTCACTGTTTAGAAGAGACTCGGATCATTTTTTTATGTGGTGGAAACGTAATACTGAATTGTTATTTCTTAAAATAATGATATCCAAAACCAGATTGGCCCTCGGTACAGAACAGCCCGATGAGTCGCGTTGAATGACTTGCAGTTGTTACTGTTTGCGTGCTAATAACCACTCCGGGAGAAGACACTCACGGCTGGGAGAGTTAAGACTGGCGTGTTGACAAAGATTGTTGGGAGCAGCAGACAGCGAGGCCTATTGTTCCTCATCTCTTTCTGCCTGCCAGTTTTAGATCAGAATGGGATGGGTGGGACTAAGGGAATACTCTTAGCTCTTACATGCTGCAGGCTCTGCATAAGGGTCAGAGGCCAAGGGTTTCTCCCCAGCAACACCACGTTCAAACTATTTCACCGCACCACTCAATAACACATGGAGAGAAAAATAGGAGTCATTAAAGTTGTTTAGCTACGATATACTTTGAGATGCCACTTTCAATTTCCACACGTGGTCCGAGACACAGTCAGGGACAGAGAACCGGGCCTGGTCCTTGTGGTGGTACAGTAAGATAAGTACACTCATGTTGCTCTCACACAGACACATCTATTCCCCAGATGCATATAATTAACTTCTTCATCTGACAGCCACGCTGCCTGTGACTGTTGAGTCACTGTGAGGTTTGACCCATACTTCTAAAATCAGACCTTAAATATGTACGCAATCAAGACTAAACCCTACAATTTCATCTGAAGGTCTATAAAGACAAAGTCCAGGGATATCCAATTGTTGAATACCAAGGGGCACTGGAAGCTTGGAACCGATCGGAGACTCCTTTTCATCTATGAAACAACAGCCATTGAAATCCAGAGTGCAGATGTTTTCTCCCCAAATGCCAATGTCAAGGTCCTACAATTTCATCCCTCGTTTGATGAACGTCTTCATAAAGTTACACTGCAGTTTTCCATAATCACATCTGTTACTTCTGCTGCCACTACTTTATTCGGTACAATTAGTTTTCAACCTCAGACTTGAACTTCACCACGGTGCCTCCTTTTTTAATGGAGAGGGAGGCTGTGTGAGTGACTGCGGAGGCAGTCCATCAATCGCAGTGGTCCTGGATGACAGAGATGAGGTGAGACGGCTGGACTTCAAAGGCTGCTTTTGGAGCTCTGCACTCTGGCCTCCCTCTCTCCCTCTTCCTCTCTTTCTCTGACTGCCGGCTCTGGAGCATAAATAAAGCTCTTTAATGGCTCGGTAAGCTGCCTTTTGCTGTCAACGTCTTTAGCAATTACTGTATCGCCGCCAAGCACTTTGAGCTCCAAGAGCTCTGAGCCACCTTCCTTGCAGATGTCTAGATAAAATAAAGAAGAGTAGTTAGTCTGCAGTTGGTACATATCTTCCTCTTGGCCCTATATAGAAATGGGTCATTGTTGACCAACAAGAAATAGTCCAAAAAAAATAAATCTTCGTATTAATTTAAATTCTGCCTGTGCAAAAGCACCGCTAGTTTTCCTTTCTAACGAACTTAGAAGTTGGGTATTGAAGCAGAGCCGCAGAGGACACATCTGACTTCATAATGTTCCCCCAATGATCTCCATGCCAAACTATTTGGATCACTCCCTCCGCTGCTCAAAGGCAAAGCTCGAGCAAACGCTCTGTGAAACATGACACACTCAAAAGCCAAGACCAGGGCTCTACGTATGTGCTCATACATTGTCTGCTTGTTTATCAAAGGCTCCAGCAAGTGTGTTATGGCTCCCAGGATAAAAGATTGCATTTGTTTATTTGTGACTTTGAATTATGCATATGGTGGTATGTAAATGCATGTGTTCTCTGGGTATGTGTACGCTTCGTCCACTGCTGTCTGCCGCACGCCTCCATAAGGTCAGAGCGGTTAACTGCGGAAAGCCAAGGGCTTAGGCGTCAGGAAATTAAACATGAAATGAAAACAAGCTCCAGTTTGAACATTCTCCCATCTCACTTTCCAATATCCCCACTTCCCCTCGCTGACTTAAAAGGGAGGAGAAAGGCAAGCGGAGAGGGGATGTAAGTTGGAGGGTTGGGTGAGGGGAGAAGAGGGTTATTGGGGGTCGGGAGAGAAGGGGCTGAGCTTTAACAGAGGGGAGGGGGCAAAGAGATTAGAAGTAGAAATAAAGTTAGGTAATCTTGATTCATTACAATTAAGATGCCAGTTTGGTAACTGATAAAACATTTTAGATAAAGCAGAGAGGAACCTTTGATTCGTGGCATTCACCTTAATCCCAGTTTATCCCAGGTGGTATAAAACGCTCTTTGAGGATTGCTTTGGCTCTGTTCATTTATGGGACTTGCATGTAATAGAAATACACAAGAGGCTCCCTTAAGTTAAGCTCTGACAAATTATACCGTATTTCTAGAAAGCAAAACCAAGTTTTCACGCTCATCAGTTCAGGGCCTTTTGTGCTGATGATTTTATTTAAAAACCTCCGATGTTATGCGCTCAAACAACGAAACAAAAGAGAGACAATAATAGACCCCAAATCCTCAGAGGGAGGCCTAACATAGACCCTGAGCACCCCCCCCCCCCCCCAAACATATGATATAATTCAAAGAGTGATAACTCCTCACCTTGACATTGGACTTCAGGCACAACCCCGGATATCAGTTTACCGCTTCGTGAGGGTGAGCGGTCCTCTAATCTCGCCAGCTGACCTGAGGAATGTCAGAGTCAGACAACGTTTCTTTACGTCGCCTTTTTGCAAAAACACAGGCAGGAGGCCATGTATGGTCTTCTCTTTGAATATTATGTCAGAAAAAGGAGAATTATGTGTGCATGTGCTTACAACTAGTCGGCTCTCCAATCCTGCCCTGAAAGAAAAACTGAGTTGGCAATAAAACCTCTGTGTGGAACTGCTCATGTTTGTCACTAAACTCTATCGTGTTTAACTCACGTGGTCGGGGATTTGAGGAGGTTGACTGAGGGAAAATTGCATGTCAGGGATGTGAAAACCACAAGCTGATTGGTCTGGAAGTTCAAGTTTGCCAAGGCAGGATCGCTCTCTTTCCTCTTTGAAGAAGTGTCCCTTTCCTGGGAGGGAGGATAAGATTCAGATAACAAACAAATACGAACAAATAAACAGAAGAAGACGTCCAATAAGCCCCTTTGCTCCTCCTGTAGTAGAAGTTTTCTTCTCAAACAATCTGTACTACACTAATTCCTTATAATCAGAATCTCAATAGGTTCAAATAAAAACTCCCCCAAATAACATTATTTACAAAGAAACATGTAAATAAGAGGAAGAAATCACAAAAAGAGGAATCCTTGTTCTGGAAAAGAAAGACATAGTAGATATCCTTTATACAGAAAAGACATAAATGACTGAAGAAGTCTTGCCAAGACTGCTGTTATTTCAGGGAATTTTTCTCAGGATACAAATATTGTTTTTTTTCCCTCAACTGTCTACATTCGGTCCTACATTCCTATAATGGCTTCCAGAGTTAAAGACAAGTAGGCTTAGCCTGCCCTTGGTCCGTCAGCAGGTACTGAAAGCATCACCTACATTATCCAATACTTAATTATCCCAAAAGTGGGCGTGGAAAAGCACATTGTTGGACAAAAGTTGAACCTTGGTTTTATGGAATACACAGAAGGATTCCCCACTGTTTCCCGCGGTGCTGACATGTCGAGGAGAGCACACCTCTCCCTGAGTGATTTATGAATGGCTACAGGCCCAGATGTGGATCTGTCGACGCTGGCAGCCTGAAGGGAGGCAGACGCCCCGCGTATCAAAGGGGGGAGCTGCTTCGTGCAGCACCGGGGGAGACTCAACGTTTTCACATCAATAGCTCCGTGTGGACGGCACTTTAAAGACACGTCAAGTCTTAAAACCTGGGCCTGCACTTTCATGTGCTGCATAATTTATTCGCTCCACTATCTTCATTTTATGTGGCTTTGTTTCGGGAAAAGGATGGCCTTGTTAAAAAAAAAAAAAAGTTCTGGAGTTTGCACGGAATATGAGAGTATATGAGAGTTTTCTCATAGATTTGTTCAGTTGCGGCTGGTCAGTTTTTTTCATGGGTGGTTTTCTTTGCAGGTGTGGTTCCAGAATCGCAGAGCCAAGTGGAGGAAGAGGGAGCGCTACGGCCAGATGCAGCAGGTCCGGACACACTTCTCCACTGCCTACGAGTTGCCTCTACTAACCCGGCCTGAGAACTACGCACAGGTAAAGGGAAAGACGGGGTTGTCAGCTCACTGAGTAAGAAGACTCGTGATCTAAAAATTGTCCATAACATTGACATTTCATTTTTTTAAGGTTGATATGTCTAAATTGGATATTGATTGCTTTAGCTTGTTTTTTGGTCTTTGGCAACTTCTTAGGAACACATCTGTCTCTTTAGCAACTGAATATTACACCGTGTTCACCTGCTCGCAGCACTGTCTGCAGTTTAATGCTGAGCAGGCAGTGTATTATGTTTTTATTCCCAAGATTTTCTGTGAAAACAGCTGACGGCTGAGGCTAATAACCTTATGAGAGCACTAAAAGTGAACCAGAGCAGTGACGTTGTGGACCACACAGCTGAACAATGAGTTGAAACTAGCTATAGTAGTCAGTGCTCCAGGGGATGATTCTCTGTAGCTCCATCACCACAAGCGAACCCCCTGCATATTTTCATTTACTTCACGTTAACTCATAATTCTGGTTTTCTCTCCTCCTCCAGATCCAGAACCCTTCGTGGATCGGCAGCAGCAGTGGAGCATCTCCGGTGCCGGGCTGCGTCGTGCCTTGTGACTCCGTCTCCTCCTGCATGCCGCCTCACCCTCATGGTCCTGGAGGCATCTCTGACTTCCTGGGCGTGCCCAGTCCAGGAAGCAGCCACATGGGACAGACACACATGGGCAGCCTTTTCGGGGGTCCCGGTATGGGCGGCGGAATCAATGGCTACGATCTTAACCTCGATCCAGACCGCAAGTCTTCCAGCATAGCTGCGCTGCGTATGAAGGCCAAGGAACACAGTGCGGCCATCTCTTGGACCACATGAGGTCTGAGCCCAGTTTCCCCCGGTCGCCTCATGGCCTTCTCCTCCGGAGCAGCCAGCGGCGAGCCGAGCGGCTGTGTGGGAGGAGGGAGTTTTCCTGAGAGCACCAATGATAACACAGGTCAACTGAACAGGGAGAGACTGCGGAGATAACAGAGGCCGTCGCAGCGACCATCACAAGATAACAACTGATACTGTAACAATAAGCAGACGCTGCAAGTGGGAGAAATACAGAGGTGCGACTCGGAAGAAGATGTTACTGAGACGTTGTGTTTGATCGCTCGCTCAGGTCGCATTGAAATATGAGTTTAGTCCACAACAGACTGAGTTTCATTCATGATGGTGATAGGTATCAGTAAAATAAGCAATATAATAAATATGGTTTCCGAAATACTATCACAATAAAGAACTGCACTGCCGAAGCCAGCAATAGCATACAGTGTTTTAATTTACAGCGGTGAACTTTATTCACGTTATTTACCTCCTGTAGCTTATTCTTTATACCGCCCATTCTGCTCCAGTCGTTTCGTTTGTGTTACTTTAGATTTGTGTCTCGTTTTGTATACTCTTTGTGAGTTCAAGAACATATCGGAGTACCATCTGACTGGGTGAGAGTTTTGTTCATGTTCCTTGCCATTGCAAACTGTCCTTAAAAACACAATAATTGGTTCTAAAAGAAAGTATACATTTTGTCAAAGCCTGCGGTGCACAGTTTATATTCCCGCAAAGAAGGACAGAGGTTGAATGCAATAAGCGAACAGAGACTAATTGACTGAGAGCAGACACGGCCTGTGTCAATTTATTCTGGGAGCAGGGCAGGCATTGGATTGGCAGCCATTTCAAACCAATATGTCATTTCCTCCCCCTAGGGCTGCCTTCACTGGTTCCCCCTGCTCGGCCCGGGCCTCAGGTTACAGGAAATACTGTCTCCACTGGCAGACAAGGCCCGACAATGCATAGCAGGCGCCTTCAACACCAACTAGCCACACCAGCTACAATCCACTGCCAGCAGGAATACACACACATTATTAGCATTAATGTGATTTGTCCTGCCTCCGCCAACGCCGTAGCACATCACAGCGCACACAGAGTTCCACACGCTGCAAGGATCAATTCTCCGACTGTTGGATTTGTAGCCTGCTCACTGAGTCCGTCACATGCCGGAAACTGACCGGCCAAATCAGTGGCCCCCAATCGTCCCGAAGAACATTCTGCAATGTTTAGGTAATGTGATGACTTTAGAGCCGGGCTGCAGGAATGCGGTGTATATGTCCAGTGATTGCAGGAGTGTCTCTGTGTGTTACCCCGTCGGAATGAGCTTGTCACCAGAGCTGGTCTGCAGGCGGAGGCTAGAGACAGGCTTCATTGGACTTTTGGCTGATCCCTCTGTGACGCCCGCTGGGCGACATATCCGTTTTCTTTCCCCATTAGTGATGCTGGCAGATGTGTTGCTTTCTGGCTGATCGTGGCTGATTAATCATTTTAACGCACGAGTGTCCATCGCAGCCTCCTGTTTTAGAGAAGGAATACAACTAATGAATTTTTCAGTAAAAGAATTAAATGTCAGATATTTTTATTTCTTGTATACACAATCCATGAAAATTCAAATGTTTACTTAGTTTTATTGGCAGTACGTAAACAAATATCAAAGACAAAGGCCTCTAAAATTGAGCGGGGACTATTCGATTAAGGAGAGATATTTTGAACTAATTTAGACTTTGTGGATGTGAGGACAGAAAATCCCAAACATTTTCCTCAGAAACAGGATGTGCCAACATAACTTATTGCATTACTCGATGTGTGAGTTCCTACTTTGTCGAGTTGAGTTGGTCTTCTCCTTTGCAGCTCCGTCCATGTTGATACTACTGAAATAAAGCGATTGAAATCAAGTATAGTATAATGTCATATTGTGTGAATGTGAACAATACAAATGTTGTTCTTTTGAGTGTACATTTGTGTGTGCTTATTTGTCACTTAATGGACCATTGAAGTATTACAATAACATTGCCTAGAAATGTTAAAATTATGTTTTTATTTTGAAGAGTTGCTCTTGAATTTTACCAAGGTTGAAATTTCTTTCTAATTTTCTAATGGCTTTAAGCAGCTTTTTTATGTATTAATCAAGTATTTCTTACTTCAGATTGTGACTTTATATAATGTGTTATTGCAATAAGTTATTGCACTTACAGTGTTGTTTTAATTATTATTTTTGACCACCACTAGGACAGTGGTCACTTTGCTAAAGCCAGAGGCGTCTCCTAAACCCGTCCATATTTAGCACCACGAACTGCATCACTGACATCTGTTTATTCAGGTGCCTCTTTTGTTTGTACAGAAGTAACTTGCTGTTTTTGTTTATTGGATTTGGTGTGATTTTGAAATAAATGAATCTCCAACCATTGAATGAGTTCAGATTTTTTTTTTTGTAGGTGAAATTTCTTACAGGCGCTGAAATCTAAATTCTCATTTTCTCTTCCTCTGACTGAGAGGTCCCACAGACGTATTTGTTGCAATCTCAACATATCTCTGCATTTTGCGTTGTGGTGTACTTTGTTGCCCACCACAGTAAATGCTAAATACTGTATCTATAATTGTCTTTCTCCAGGTCGAGATATTTAGAAAAGCTGATCATCTGTGTTGTGACCGGATGCATCAGCAAGCCTCTCAGCTGGCGTCTTTGAACAACTCACACATAAAGCTGCGAGTGTCAAAACAAACTCATACTTGAGAAAAGACTTTGAACCCTACCAGCAATGTAAGACTATTGTGTGGGCAAAGATATTTGCATTCTGATATCTAATGAAAACATGGTAAACTAAACTACACTGATAAAGATGATTGGGTTTGCTTGTGTTGTTGAAGGTGGACGATATGTGAAGCCTTTTTCTCGCATCAGCAGCTTCCACATGGGATGCTCTGGCCGAGCCATTAGGCTGAGAGTTAAGGCTAATAGTCTGAATGGGCCTTAAATATCTCCAGGTGGTATTTGGCAAACGGTGTAGGTTTGGCCGAGCGAGAGAAAGCTGTCATGCTACATAGTATGCAACATCGTTTCACACAGATGTTCTTTGTATTTGCAATAGAAGCTCATTCATGCAATAAAACAGTCCTTCTTAGGAAAAAAAAACACATTTCCAATCACTTCAAAACATCTTTCCTACACAACAAAAACAAAGTCTGTAATCTATCCACCCTTTATTTCAAACTTTGTGCTGATCCATAGAAGGAAGAACAATTTAGGACAACTTTCACACAAGACAAAGGGAAGGCACAGCCAGGAAACCGGAAAAGTTAAACCTTTGCCAATTCACATCTTGCCATCGCTGTGGTCTTTACCCTACAAAGAATGTTGGAGCTCTCCCATTTCTGTTCGCTCCCAGCAACAATAGCTGTCTTTTCCACAGTTGTGCAAGACTTTAACTGGAGCACTCCGATCGCACGAGAATGGGGAAGCTCAAACGAAGACCGCTGTGACCCAGCAAACCCCGCAGCTCTAGTGGAGGAACTGGAGATCATCAATAGGACAACAATGGAAATGCAATGAATTGAAAAAAAAGTCGCTTCAGAGGAGGCTTGTGCATGTGGAATAAAATACTCATCTTATTTCATAAGAAGTGGTATATGAATACACTGACCGATTAAAAGGCCACGGCCATGCTCATGAGCCCAGTGAGGAGATCTAACTGACGGACTGAGTTCAGTGGTCACAACGCAACCAGAGACCCAAGCAACGAAACGGGACGCACGTTTTAGAGACATCACCTCTGCCTCTGAACTCCCCGTCTGTCTAAAACGCGGCTGAACGAGATGAATAAACCTTCGCAGAGAGGAAGAAGAGCAGCCCACTCTGCCCTGAACAGCACTCATTAAATCTAATGGGTCACGCTGCTCCAGCCAGGCTCCACTGACACCCCTAATAGAAGCCTGCATGGTTAAGGGACCATGAAGACCATTAGGGCACTTCAAAGTTCACCACTACATTAGTGCCCTGCTGATATGGCAGCATAAGAGCGGAGAGATCCAATTCCACATTCACTCCTTTATTTGTCAATTGGGCGGCTTGTCAATCAACCTACTCCATAAACAAGTGGATGCTAGAGCTGCTCATTAAGAGCCATAGTTAGCAAAGCAGAGGCCGTAAATCACCTCTTATATCGCGTTTCAGCAAAAAAAGAAAATCGTTCAGGTCATATTTTAAAGCCGACACCTTGGCTTACACTGTTAAATGATCCCATTTGAAAATAGAGCTATTATAAAGTGTGCACGGTTCATCAAATTTCTCCACACACGTTTGGACCAATAAAGGGACTTCGGATCTATGTTGGAGCCACAGGAAAATAAAAAGTACTTCGACCTGTAAAAAAAACTTTTTTTAACTGACTCACGCATGTAAATTCAAACGGGCCATGTTTGCAACTGTGAAAGCAAAGCCTACCTCACTCAATGACTTAAGGGGACGTTAATCAGGAGAGTCAGCAGAAGCTTGATATATTGATGCTGTCCTAAGGGACATAAAAGGCACCGCAGCACCTCAGCACAGCTCTGTGGAGAGGAGCTGGCGGCTCAAGAGGAAGGAGGACCGCATGCATCACTTTGCCCAGTAAAACGGCCCTCATTACAAGCAGAGAATGCCAGTATACAGCTCTCACTTAGCTAAGCTATTGACACACATAAGAAACCAATGCAAAACAGCCTGACTATACAACATGGTGTGAAAGTAGTAACATCTGTTTCTAGCAAGATTTGTCAACCGAGAAGAAAAACAAAAGGCAGGATGATACTGAATTTCTAAGCAATGCAACTCACTGGGAAGTTGTATGAACATTTTAGGATGACAAGTTAAACGACCCCAAAATGGGTGTTTGCATGTCACTGTCTGCATCACATGATCTGACAGGTCATTGTGTGTGTAGGAGGGAAGTGTAGGAGGAGGACTGAGAGAGGAGCATGGATACCTCACTGCCCCGTGCTCCTTCTAATGGGGTCTCTGGCTCTGGGCCAGCCTGCCCTATCGACTTATCACCCAACAAGATCAGTTTCATCTCTACTGATGAGCACATCTGCAGTGTTGTAAATTAGCAAATGCAGTTTTTGACCACACAAGACACAAGAGTGGTCATCTCCTTCTTCACTTAACATTCTGGAGGCTAGGAGATCATGTTTGAAACAGATGTTTTAAAACATCTGGGCCAGACACCACACCTGGACCGCAGGTAACTTTCCTGGCAAGCTGTGAGAAATTGTACATGAGCAGTTATATTTCGGGGGTTATTCTCTCACTGTGTTGCTGAGACGTCTTATCTGCATTTCATTTTCATTTAGTGCCCGCGATGTTTTCTTCTTTCAGAGCGAGCATCGACCCATGTTTGAGAAGGTGTTAGCTCGCTTTGTTGAACTGCGATCGGCCTTTTTTTCTCCCCATCAGCTCTGCACCAAACATAAACTGCCCTGCCAGCTGCTTGACAGGCATCACTGTGGTCTGTAACCATGGAGACAGCCTCACATCATTCACCGACTAATAAAACTACAGTTTATTAGTGTCAAAATTTCTACTGTGGCTTTTTTGACATGCTAACATAAAGGATTTAAAGTGGTTCGACAAATGGTTGGAGGTTCGGGCAGGCTGAGGTGAAAGGCTTGGATGTAACCGCTGGGTTTGTGGGTTAAATCGCCGCTTGTGTATTGTTGCAGCACTGTAAAAAAGTAACAGGCAAATATAAAAAGCACATACATACAGAAGCGTTGCATATAACGCGAGATTGGTTGAGTTTTCTTTCTGTATTTACAAGCCGCATATGGTGAACCATGAATAATGCAGCTGATAAAACATGCTTCACCTGTCAGCCGGCATGCCGCAGCTATGAAATGACTCACCATGTTGATTCCTCCAGTTCCTCTGCCAGTGTGCACCCCATTAAAAACCAAGTCAACACACTTAAATCGGGAGCCTGTCCACTGATTTCCTCCTAACACTCTTCAAGTTTGTTATCACGCTGTGTTTCTAACCCCCTCAACCTCTTCGCTCCTTAGCAGCATTTTGTCTCTTCTCTCTGCAATATGCTTCCAATTATGAATCTTGTGAATATGGGGGCGGTGAGGGATCTTTCTGATTTATTGTGAACTCAAGTCCAGCCTTGTTCGGTGCATTTGCTCAAGAAGCCCTCCTGCTGCAGAGCTCAAAGGTCAAACATACACAGCGGTTGACCTCTCGCAGACTCATGTGCAACGGGGTCACACTCGACCTGATTGACAGGAGGCAGAGATGACGGCTGGACGGCCAAGGCCACAGGGTGAGAAAAGCTGGCGTGCAATGAGGAGCTAAGCGCTGCATTAGCTTCCAACTGTGAGGAAACTTCATAACACAAAAACAGAGTGGAAGGAGTGTGTGTGTGTGGGGGGGGAGCGGTGGAAAAACACAGATAAATAATGAGGAAAAATGAAGTGGCCTCATCCAGTCACCATCACTGACGGCTGGCAGCGAAACGTTGCTCTTCTCCTTCGTAACCGTAGAGCACTTTGTGGTCTTCTCACACGGGACCGCTTGGACCATCTATTTGAAGTCATCATCTAAATCCAAATCCTCTGGACTGAAAAGCACATGCTTCACAAGTGAGTCACACAGCACACAAGAATTCTCTGAAGACAGCAGCGGTGCTCGGCCTGAGAAACGGCGCAAAGATCCATCCCCACAGACTTGTTTCCCGGCCTTTCCAGCTCACTTCCTGTTTCATGCTGGGTCGCGGGCGCCATACCGCGCGTCACAAAGACTACCCTGTTGAGCCTAAGGCCATTGGACTTGGCGGCTGTGGGACAATTCAGTTGTTATTCACCACAATGGCGATGCTGTTACAAGCGGGACGCGGCAGTATTTGGTTGTCTGTGTATTTTCTTTTAAGATTCTCACATTTTCACAACAGGTTTTGCAGCCCCTCCGCAGCAGATGTGAATCATCTGCCCCCAGTATGGTTTGTGCTGAAGGGTCCTCAGGGGCTTCTCTGGGCCTTTCAACTCCCAACCGGACCTAACACCTTTCACACTGGATAAGCACAACACGAGGGAGAGACGCAGGTTTTCTGTTGGAGGGTCAGGGTTCTTACATGCAGGAAAAAGAACTCTTTAATTCCCTTGGGAGTCGAACCACTCATAAATCATCAAGCAATGAAAGTCTCCTCTCCAAACAGGGGGCTAAAACAAACCGAACACGGAGCCCCTCGGCCCCGCCACTCCCCCGTCCATCTCTCTCCCCTCTTCTCCTGGTAGGAATTTTTATGAGGAAAGAAGAGATGTAGAGGTGCAATGCTAAACTAGAGCAGAGCGGTAAGTACTACAACTTATCTTCTGCAGTGACCCAAAACTGCAAAAAGAAAAATCATTATTTTAAGGGCTTTTACACAAATTC